CTTGGAATGAATTCTAGAGATACCTCAAGCTCAAAAAGAAAGAGATGACCTTAGAACAATTGCTTGTTCGTCACTAGATCCGAGAAGAGGGTCTGGCTTCTAAGAAAAAAGTAACTCTTACAAATGCTAATGTTGTAGAGCACCCACCCAAAGAGGGCTCTTCGAAGAGGCCTAAGCCGAACAAGAACAAGAAGAAGCCCAATCTTAAAGAAGGCGTCGCAAGGTTAAGTTCGCCAGAAAAATCTAAAATGGTTTTGTCGCGAACAACCGCTCTTCAAAGTGTCACAAGAGGCATAAGAAGAAGAAATGGAAGAAAGAAGAGGTCCTCTGCTCAGAGCTAGATACTATGGATCTATGTGCGGTCGTGACAGAGATCCACTTCGTCAGGTCTAACCTGAATTAATGGTAGATTGACACCGGAGCCACTCGTCACATTTGCTCTAATCAGGCCATGTTCTTTGACCTCAAGGATACTTCTAGCGACAAGGTGTGGATCGACAACTCCGTCCAATCTGAAGTTCAAGGCGTGGGAAAAATGGAGCTCAAGATGACATCCGACAAGGCCTTTTGAAGATCCGGAAAATAATTTTCCAGTTTTGTTTATTATATAATATTCTGAAAAAATTATAAATTCTAGATTTTATTTATTATTATATTTTGGGGTCGTTCGTCTTCTCTATCCATTGTAATCTGTACGATCTTTTGTAATAATTAGTTGTCCATTGGAGAACTAAAATTAGACTTTTAATAATTTAATACTAAAATAAGGTTTATAATATAAAAAAGTGTCAATATATAATCCATAAAAATATTGTGAAATGTCTACATATAATGTTAAGTTTTACATTGCATAATGCGAGATAAGAAATAGGAGATCCTATTGTGGTATACGTTTAGTGTTTTAATCATATTTAGGTAGGTTTTAGTTCAGTGTTTTAATCATATTTAGGTAGATTTTATGTTTTACCGTTTTCATAATTTGTTTTGAGATAAAGCCACTTAATCTTACAATAGTTTTTATACAAAAAGTCTTACAAGATTTATATCTTTTTACATGATTATTTATATATTAAATTTCACAAAAAAAATCTAAGGACCTTTTGGTACATCAACCAATAAAATAAAACTTAATTTGATACACACACACACACATACAGACACACACACACACACAGAGGACGGTTCCTGTGAGAATGAACCTTGGTGAAATAAATGAGAATAGATTTGATCCCTTAATTTAATCAATCCTATAGTTGAAGTTATAGGAAATTTAGGCACATGGGAGGTTATGAAAATGGTAAAGAATAAACGTGCTCCATTAAGTTAGGAGTATTTAAAGGAATAAGGGGATCATTGTAATTGTAAAATTAATTCGTTAGCCACATCATCCATATTTATGCACAAGAATTTCATATTTAATCCCATTTTAAGTTACGTTCTAACTTAGTACGTTCCTTTAAAATTGTACCAAATTCAATTTACTTAAATAAATTAAATTTTTTTATAAGAATTTATTCTTTTAATTTAAATTTAATGTGCCCTGATTTCTGAATTTAAATTTAATCAACCCTTATCACCTCCCAACGGCTAGTTAACACCTTCTACCATAAATACAAGCCTAATACTTCATATTTCAACAAGAACTCAAGCTCCAAACATCTTACTTTTATATTTCAAGTGTGTTTACTCTTTTATTATTAATTCTTCATCTTCTGACTATTTTAAGAGCCTCATTCTCTTGATTTTTATACACACACTTTTGAGCTTGTGTTTTAGTTATATACTCTCATATTCATAAGCTTATTTTGTATCTTTTGAGAGAGTATAGTTTTCCTTCTACATCGGCTAAAGTTTTGTTCTTCATTTTGATATTCAAGCCGTTGTGTAGAACCTTTGATTTTGTTCATCAAACACACATTTATACGGTCGAGAATAACCATTAAACTCTCACGTTATAACGGTCGAGGATATCCGTATAAATCCTTGGGCAGAAGGTTCAAGGATAGCCTTGTAAATCCTAGGGGGAACGGTTGAGGATAGCCGTGAAATCTTCATTGTAAGCTGTTCGAGATAGCCGTTGTAAAATCTCCGAGTGAATCCTATTGCAAAGGGTTGTTTGCCAAAACTAGTGCGGTGCTTTGACGGAGTTCAAGAGACCGGGACTTAGGTTTATATGCAGCTACCCCTTGGCACAGCCACTCGCCACCAAGGTTTGGTTTGTCGGCTACACAAGTCACTTTATGGGTTGCGTCAAGCTCCCCATTGCTGGTTTGCAAAGTTGACTTCCTCTCTCCGACACTATGGCTTTATTCAATCAAAAGCTAATTACTCTTTTTTTACATACGCCAGGGGGCATAAAGGTTCATGTTCTTATTTATGTGGATGATCTGGTTATTGTTGGGACCAACGAGCCTTTCATTGCTTGGTTCTAACAATTTTCGTCGGATTGTTTTCATATGAAAGATTTGGGCCAGTTGAATTACCTCTTGGGCATTGAGGTGGCCCACAACTCGCATGGGATTTCCTTATGTCATTGAAAATATGCTTTGGACATTTTATCAAAATCTGGAATGATGGGAGCTTAGATGGTTGCGACTCCCTTACCGGCGAACCACTATCTTGCCTTGGCCAAAGGGGTCGAGCTTACCCATTCGGGACGGTATCGTCGCCTCGTTGGTTGTCCCATCTATTTGACCATCAGTCGTATAGATTTAGCCTATTCTGTTCATATTCTCCCTCAGATCAGTTATATGAAGTCTTGCCTTGTCAGGGCCTCGTCGTCCCTCACTTAATAATGGTCTCGATAAAACATGTCTTTTTCGCATGATTGGGTCTGGTGGCCAAGACTATCCTTGGACGTGAGCATAGTATGATATGAGACGAAATTTAATCCGTACAAGTACCACATCAACAAGTTTGATTCAGTATAATATTTTACATCATGCAAATCTTAATTCACAAATATTGGCTTTAAGTTGGTTTGGGGTGGTTCGGTATAAGCTTCGCTAGAATTGGGACGAATATGTACGTATCTACTTTGCATTTAAGGATGTACCTAAACCCTTTGGTTTTTATAAATTGAAAGTGAATTTAAATAAAGAAACATAAAAAAACTAAATAATGAATAATTAAAATGTAAGAAATGTTTATGGAACTTTGTTTATATTTTACAAACAAAAGATAAGAATGACAATTCTTAATGTTTTTAAGTTTATCTAAAGAAATTTAAACTCAAATAAAATACAACTCACACTTAATAAATTCTGAACCAAAATTTCAAAATAAACTTACTTCTGAATGAAAAAATATTAAAACATTTATATATTTATTACTTCCTCCCTCCCAATTTGAATTACCTGATGATGTTTACGAGGTTTTGACCGAAATTATTTTCAATTCATTTTATTTAAAAATTTGTATGGAATTAAAAAAAAATTATATATTAAAAAACTACATCAAACCGATCAAAGGTTCTACAAAACCGAAAATGACAATATTATAGTATTATTTTATCAAATGGATAAAAATAGGTAAAAAACGTGATTAAAGTTTAACCATGTGAATAGTTATAGACAAGTTAAATCGTGATAGACAAAGTATATATTAGTCAGCAACATTGATTGGCCAATTGGTCGGGGTATTTTTACTTTCTCTCACCTTGAGTTCTTCTCGCCTCAAAAAGTGGAGGAGTCTTGATTGATATATTAGGCTCAGAGCTAAGGCTATGTGCTAGGGCTTGAAAGAAGCCTACAAGGTCCATTACCAAATGAGGAGCAAAGGCAATGATCCAAGCTCGACACCAGCCTCATAACGTATTTACAAGTTCAATCTCTTCTAAAGTTAGGCTCATCAGCACATGGTATTCATTTACTTAGTTGGTGATGGAGATTTGGGTAAGGTTCCCTGGACCCATACGAATTGGGCTCAGATGCGCTCAAATCAGGAAGCCTTATGGAAAGAAAGAACGAGCTCGAGATGGGTAAGCTCGACCATCAGCACTCTGCCTCAAACCTGGGAACCCAAGGGTGAAAGTCTAAGCTCAACATAGCCGAGATCGAGTACCAGCAGGCCATCTCTAACCCGCGCAAGTATTTGAGCTCGACTTGGAAGATGGAGCCTCTGCCCGGGAGAGCCAAACTCGTCCAGACCACCACCCCCGGTCCAAGCTCAGGCAAACACTCGTGCCAGGATATGGGGACTACACTAAAGTCAACTCTTGAGAAATAGGCAGCGACGATCAAACCATTATTACGAGCACGAAACATAGACTGTTAGAAAAATAATGTGCCATAATATAACTAATAGGCCTTGGGTTGCGAATCGAGTTTGTTCGGACTCTATCCATACACGCATATAAATAGACTTTCTGTCCTTGTGACGGTAGATCGGAATCTAAGTACTCCATTACTCCTATCTTGAATTTTCTTTATCTACTCTTTACTACCTATAAAGGCTAGGATCCATGAGTGCATTTATGTCAAATAAACAATAGGATTAAGCTATGTGTACCCCAACATTTATACCCCAATTTGTACCCCGCAGGTTTGCACTAACATTTTGTGTCGGTGTAAAACTAATTTTTGTTAATGCACCAACATTTGTGTCCGTGTAAATTTTTGTTAACGCACCAACACTTGTATCGGTATAAATCATCAAAATGTTTGTACAAAATTATGGTGTACAAGTGGAGTACATTTTCGGGTGTAAGTGTAACATGGTCATAAACAATAACACACCACATCCAAATGTATGATACTCCCTATAAAAATTCAAACATAAAAGGACAGAGTCTAAAAGAAAAATTAATAATCGGATTAATTTGAAAGAGTGGCATAATGTTTTTTTTAATCTTTCTATTGGTAGTCTCAATCAATGGAAAGAACGTGCGACCTATAGGGGTTTCCGAATCTTGTCCACACATTGAATCTCCCCAGGGATACGTCGGGAGCGCGTGGAATCCACGCGCAGGAACCGCCAACGCGCAAAAAGCCCTATTATTCCGCTCCCTTTCCTCGCCTCCACACCAGAGCTACACGTTCCCATCGTTTTCCAGCGACGCGAGACAGTAGGCGTCGCCTTCTCTATATCTCTGTCCGCATCCCTTTTCAAATTTCAAAAAAGAAGAAGGAAAATCATCTCCGTCGGAGCAGCTTCTCTCGGGCTCCATTCCGCTCGCCGGAGATCCGCCGCCATGCCGAAAAGGTGAAAGAAGTCTCGTTTTCGGTTTTTTTTTCCCTTTCTTCTTCTCTTCCGCCGTTCCGATCTGAATGATTTTCGCGCGCCTGTTTGTCCTCCGGCTGCCGCCGCCGCACGCTCTCCGCTCCACATTTGCAAGCCTGCTTCTGATTTTGTTGATGTTTTGCCTTTTTTGTTTGGTTTATGGAGATGAATCGATCTTTTTTTTACCGTCTTCTGGAAATCTACGTCTAGCTCCGCCTAGCAGCTATTAGCCCTAGGCTCGATTAATCCCCGCCTAAGGCGCTAGGCTCGATTCCAGTTTAATGACCTAGCTATTTTTAGAACCCTGCGTGTTGATAACTACATTTTAGGGGTTAATCGAATGCTTGCAGGCGTTGTTCGCCTATGATATAAAGCACTTGATCCATCTAATTATAAGAATCAGATGAAAACATACATGAAAGAGGTGCAATCTATGTGGTAGTGTTAACATGGAATACTTAAAAAACAGATTAGGAAACAATCTATGTGCTAGTGCTTCAATTCCTTAAATATGTTACTCCGTATAGCTTATTATTATCATCAATGGTATGATTGATCTCCATCTCCGGAAAATTTATGTCTGACCCGAGTTCATTTTTATTAAATATCCAGGGTTCTATGCAAGTTTTTTGCGCAGGGAGGATGTCTAAAAGGGGATCATTGTGAGTTTTTGCATGATCTGGAAACCCCTTCAAGTAATGTAAGCATTCTGGGCTATTTGCATTGATTAACATGACATTTATTACTTGTATGCCCAAGTCTAAACTTTGACAACATGATACTTTTCAGGTTTGCTCTTATTACCAAAAAGGAATGTGTGCTTTTGGGAGCAGATGCAGATATGAACATGTTGAAGCTTCGCACTTGCAGTCTTCTGCATCGTCTCTTCAAGGGCGCAGAAAACCAACTTTGAGTCAGAAGTCAGGGCCTCAGGATTTATTAAAGAGTTATGACATAGCTGAGGAGACTGTTTATGATCCAGCTGATCAATCAATCTGCTCATTTGCAGCGGCCGGTCACTGTGTGCGTGGGGAGAAATGCTCTCATATTCACGGGGATTTGTGTCCCACTTGTGGGAAACTTTGCTTGCATCCTTTTAGGCCCCGTGAGAGAGAGGAGCATTTAAAATCATGCAAGAAAAGGCAAAATTACCTGGAAATTTTAAAACATAGTCAAGAAATAGAGTGCAGCGTTTGCCTTGAACGTGTTCTCTCCAAGTCAGTGGAATCTGAACGCAAATTTGGAATCTTATCAGAGTGTGACCATCCATTTTGCATATTGTGCATTAGGAATTGGCGTGGCAGCTCTCCATCATCTGGGCTGGATGTAAATTCTGCATTAAGGGCTTGTCCCATATGCAGAAAGCGATCTTATTTTGTAATTCCTAGCGTGATTTGGTACAACACAAAGGAAGAGAAACAAGAAATTATTGACAGCTACAAAGCAAAACTCAGGTTTTTTTTGTTTCGGTGTGTGGTTTTTAAGGAAAGGGAACTTCTTTTGTAAAGATAGTCAAATTTACTCTCACATAGACGCCTTTAGTTAATCATATACAAGTAACATTGATAAACAAAATGAAGTATGAAGGTTGACATAAGCCATGTATGAGAACTTTGATTGTTGAGCTCATTAGTTAGGATGAAGAATGTATTTTCTTTCTTAGTTGATCGGGAGAAGCCCAACCGTACCTGTTTTACCTATCGTGATTCGTGACTGGTGATGGAGTGATCACCATATATGTTTATTAGTCCAATATCCTAGCCCTTATCTCCATACCCTGGATTCATTGTTATGGATGTATGATTGAATGAGTTCTCTTTCACAAACTTCTGTTAGTCTAAGTTTCTCATTAGTGGATTAGTCAGTACAACTCTACTGTAAAAATAAAAAAGCATGTTGCCTTTTGTTTCCAACATAAGTAGCTTTTCTATGGGGCTTTTCTGTTTGACATGTAACTTCAATAATTGATTTTTTTGTTTGGTTTTTTCTTCAGGACTATTGATTGCAAACACTTTGACTCTGGGAATGGGACTTGTCCATTTGGGACTAGTTGTTTCTACAAGGTATTGAATTTTAACATTTTTCATATGTGTGTCTCTAGGACAGTGAACATATTATCAATGGCAATTTATTTCATCCTTAAAAACTCTTTTTTATTCCCACAATTTACCCAATTTACCACAATTGATCCGATTTCAAGTGTTAAAAAGTCACTCAATTAAATGATCACAAAATATGTAAGAAAACTTTAATTTTGGATAAAAAAGAATTCATCCTTGTCCGTGTTTGAGGTGAAATGTTATAAATTTGGATATATAATATTATTGTATATTCATGATACATACACACACACACACACACACATACACACATATACATATATATACAGAGTACCTCTTTTAAGTCGTTGGAAGAAATTGGAATTTGGAAGGAGTTGGAAACAGTTAAAAGTTAGCTTTTCCAATCCAAAAGAACATAGCCTCAACCGGCAACTGTAATATTAGTTTCGATGCTTGATTGTTGGATATGTGTCTGTTTGATGGCTTTACCATTCCTCTGACAAATTACATTTCTGTTGTCTTTCCTTCCAGCACACTGTGAAACCTGGATCGATGCTGTGGAATTCTGTTCTAATGCCGGATTCATATGGATCAAGGCTTCGAGACATGGACGAAGTCGGATCGAGCTTCGATACAGATATTGACGGCTTAGTTGATTTATTTGAACAGCTGTACATGCCGCGCAGGCCGCGAGGGCTTCGGGAGCGAGAACTAAATGAGTATGCCGAGACAATGTCTAGCGACGAAGAACTAAACGAGTTTGCCGAGGCAATGTCTTTTCTACTATGGGCACGGGGTTCTGATACCAGTGACTTTGAGCTATCAAGTGATGAAGAAGAAGAATAACAATATCATATCATATCTTTGTGAGTTTTGATGTATTAATCAATTAAATTAATTAATCCCCAGAGGGTTTTATTGGATTGGTTAATTGTTCTGGTGTGATGTGTCTCTGGATGTATTTAGTGGTGTACACTAATTGTGGCAAAAACTATTTTTTTGATGAACTGTAAGCATAAAGATAATTATTGTGGCATAGCATTTGCTCCGGCTTTTAATACGGAGTTCTATTTTCATTTTTCCTCATTCTGTTAGGCATCGCATTGGTGACCTATATATCATTGGTTTTGTTAAGGTTTTGCAAAAATTTGAACCCATGTGTAGATGAAATGTTTGGATTTAACCTTTTTATTTGATTTTTCTTGGTCAATAGTTATAAGTTTTGATATCGATGTTCAGAAAAGTTACTTTGTGTTTCCATGTAAATGTAATGTCAAATGTTTTTTAAAAATGTAGTGTTTTGAAATATTAAAGTTTTATAAAATGTATAAATATTGATAGTAATAGTCAAAGTGTCACATTAGAGACTTCAAAAAATCAAAATGAGAAAACTAAATTCGGAGTATTTTAAAATATTTAGAATGTTTTGTTTGTTTAGTACTAATTAAATTCTTTTTTACAAGATACAAATATTGAAAAATTATCTTATACTCAGTACTATGTGTTACCTATATAACGTATATGGAGTATTTATTTAAATAATGGTTAAATTTCATCTTATTTGACTAAGGGTTTGTGTGTGTTGAATACAAATTTTAATTATACGATGCAAAATGCCGCCAAATCCTAATATCATATTGTGGGTTTGTCTATATTAAGTTGTACTTTCGTGGGATTCAACTGAATTGTTGTCGTTCTTGTTGTTGTTGTTGTTGTTGTCTATATTAAGGAGTACATAACAAATTAGATGGGATATATAAATATATCTCCATCTTTTGTCCTGAAAAAATTCATAATCCATGCAAGTCACCTCACTTATGTTACTATTGGCTGGATGTAGAGAGGGGGGTGTTTCCCCCAAAAGTGCCAAGAGCACTTAGGGGTGATAGTGATAGCATTGACACCCCTAAAATAGTCATTTTTTTCAAATATGAATTTAAAAAAAAAAACAGATATCAGAGCTAATCAATCCATTCTTCGCCATTGCAAAACAAAAAATGTCCCATTATGGGTATCAAGAAAGTTAGTCTCAGTTGTTCGACCCTCCCGAGTCGCTTCAAAAACTTTGATTTGTTTTGTGTTCGGCGCGAGTGTAGGTCATGCCCCGTGGATTCACCAGTGCACGCTTCCATTGCATACTCCTTGCGCGGGGTTTGATCAGGGGGAGGTGGACCCTATACACACTTGGTACACCTCCTCCTCGGGGCACAGGATTCCACGAAGCGGCAAACAAGCCTCCTCTACCGAGAACTCGAGGCCATGTTGTGACTGTTGCTTCGGGAGGAATGGACCCTTTCTTAACAACCTGCATATATCAGGCATAAAGAAACCCATAATAGGATCTGTCTCTGTTCTAAACATCCATCTGCCTAGACTCTGAAGATCCCAGTTATACTCTGCCTTAGGCACTAGCCGTGAACATTAAGGCTCTGCTCATTTGGGTTCCAGTTTTTCCAACAACGAACAACGACTAAAAAATGCATTTATATATTATGGGCATGCAATAACATCATATATCCAAATTTATAACATACCACCTCAAACACGGACAAAGATGGATTTTTTTATCCAAAATCAGTTTTCTTACATGCTCCCTCTGTCCCTAAAAGATTGCCACAGTTTGACCAACTGTGGCATACTTTGACCATGAATTAAATATAGTTTAAAATAATTAAATATTGTAAAAATTTGATATTTCAAAACTATATTTTAAAATAAACCCACTTTTACTAGATTTACATTATAACTAAATATACATTTTCCATAATTTGCGTTCAAAGAGTGCCACAGTTTGACCAAAAAAGTCAAACTGTGGCAATCTCTTAGGGATAGTGGGAGAATTTATTTGGGTGATTCTTTAATTGAGTGATTTTTTTTAATGCTTTATTTTTTTTCTCCAATATATTCCCACTCCTAGACTCTTCCAACATCCTACTATGTTTTTACAACCCAAAAAAACGAAGCCGAAGTACCACTAACATATAACCATGTATGCTCAATGGAGGGAGAATTGCATAGCAAGAAAGACAAGGGAATAGAAATTTAACCATCCCCTCAAACTACAGTTAATTTACTCATCCCATATGTTCACTGCATATGCACATCCATCACTCAAAAAATAGAGAATATACTCAAATGTAAATACGTTCAAGCTAACATAAATTCCCAGGGCAACAAATTTTTAAAAATATCCAACACTAGGACGTATGATGAAGAGCATCACCAAGAAAGATTCACATTGAGCATTCACTAACAGGAAATTAAAGTCATTTGCTAACATACCTTAAGGATACGTGACATGAATGAGGTTCCATCAAGCGATAAAGCATGATCTGCTGATTCCTTTTTCATGAACTCTACATAAGCTGACCTGCATTAAAAAAAACACCCCACTTTACGTATATTGACATTCCATGAAGGAATTAGAGCTAATTAGCATAAAACACCTTACCCTTTGGGTTGTCCGGTCGCAGCATCAGTTAAAATAACCACTTTAAGCACTTCACCAAACTTATTGAAGTGCCGTGAAAGACCTTACTTTGTAGAAGCAAAATGAACCTGATAGAAACAAGATGGAAGAGGGAACAGAAGTGGGGGTGAGAGGGATTTAGCCATGAAGGAGAAAGATGAATGCCTTCACCCATCAGGCTAACAGAGTGTTGCAGTTTAGTTGGTTAGTGGTTACATTATTGACAAAGATTGTCCTGGAATCCGTATCCTCTAGAAGTGCATAAGCAGAACACAAACCTGCACAAGAATACCGTATAAAGATTGTTTTATTAAGATAGTGTCAACTGTCAAGTTTAAAGATTTTACTGAAAAATAGCAGCACATGTGTTAGGATATTTTTGATGGTTTTCAAGCACATATATGAATTACACTTGACAACAAGGAAAATACTGAAATAGATATTTTAAAAACGCGCGCGCACAAGACCCAACTGACCAGGAACAACAGACTGTATCTTTTGTGATTCCTTTTTTATTTCTGTGTTAGACTTGACCTGATCACATAGATGCACATGAACATGTAAGTTATATGAATCCAATACAGGTGTTCTAGTAAAAAATTATAAACATATACTTCCTCCGTCCTAATGTTTATGTCCAGTTTTCCTTTTTGAGTTGTCCCAACATATTTGTACACTTTCCATTTGTGGCAAAAAAATGATTCATCTACTAACTACACATAAGTAAGGGTATTTTGTCATCTTCCCCCCTATATGCTCATTTCCTTGGTTCATATGCCAAAAAAGCAATTGGACAAACACATTGGGATGGAGGGAGTATGAAATAATAACATAGCCTTACTCTCTCGTTCTCAACTGTCACAGGTTCATTTCTCTTTTCCATGAATGGCATGCAAGGCATGGATGCCACAGCCCCGCTGTTTTTTGCAGATTCACAGCCATCTCTCTTCAATACCTTCACAGAGTCCTGATATTGAGGCGATTTCCAAGTATTCATATTCATGGATCCAGTCATAATATTACAAGAAGCATTTGGAATGGATGTAGGATGATCTTGACCCTTCAGTGCTTTGGGTTTTCTTTCAGCAGCAGTTTTGGTCACATTTTTGTTGCGCACCAGTGGCCTTATGCCTTTTTTTCCAACATATTCTTCTCGTCCACCCAAATCCACTTGAGCCACAACATTAATGTTAGTATAACATTCATAATCGGATCCAGGATAGAAATCCATCTTATTATAACCATGCAATTTTCTAGCACGAAGTCCACTATAATTCGTTTGATGATAAGTAGTGGGGACTTCCATCACATCAACAAATGTCTTGTCTTCCATTTGTTCAGTGACATCTGCACTCATCTCCTCTAGCTTTTCCAAGGTGACCAATCCGTTCGAATCATGACCAAGCCTATCAAACACATTAGCTGAATGCTTACGTTTTGTCACATCATTGGCTGCTTCAGCAACAACTCTGGAAACCGTCACTATGGCATCCGATACTCTTGCACCTGATTGTTTAACGGTTAAGCAATCCCCAGGCAATGAATCCTCCAAAGACGTAGATACCACTGAGCGAAGGCGCTTCAGTGATGGCTCAGTGGCGAAATGGGATGGTCTCAAAGCAGCCACAGCATCTCGCACAGCAAATTGCAGCAACCTCCGCGGAGCCGCGATTGTTGCTTTAGAAATGTCTTCTCTCTATCAAAAACATGAGAATGGTCTCATATGAGTGTCCAGAAGGCAAAAAAAATAACCCTTATAGACTTGATGAGCATTAGCATTGTCTAAAAGAACTAAAATATAGAGGATAATGATGATGACTTTTATTAAAAAGAAAAAAAATGTTTGACTTTTGCCATATCTCCATGAAGTACAAGGCTAATTAGCTGAATACACTCCCCTGAGTATTTAATTTATTATAAATAGATAATGATGAATTGCCCCTTGTTTGGATCATGTCCTAGATCGCGAAATCGCACTTTGCAATCTTATGAACTCTGTCCGGGTTGGATCGCAATCAAAGTACTTAACAGATGGGATCACTGTGAAATAGCAGCATCTCTTTATTTTTGTGATTATGAGACTCTAATTGCGCAATTTAATCATTTACCCTTTCTATTTTACAAGATCCCTTAATCTTTTGAAGGCACTCCATCCTTATTCCAGATCCCACTACTACCGGTATCTATGTAAAATAGCTTCAGACTTCTCCCCATTGTGACCGTTCCAACTATTATTTCTTAGTGCTTGGTGGAAGTTCTTACTATCAATAATGGGTGGTTTCTGCGGAGATAAGGTTTAAGGGTCAAGGTCAAAAACCGAGTGGGATACTGGTATAGCATGGATGCCTTACGCAATGTAATGCAGCAACCCATGGATTATAAACTTCTTCCTACATATGAGTTGTACCAGACTAACGCACATGCAAACAATGTTAAGGCTTCCAGATCCGACTACTTCCGGTATCTTTGTTATATAGCTTCAGACTCTCTCCGTTAAAACCGTTCCAACTATTACTTCTTAGTGTTTGGTGGAAGTTCTTACTATCAATAATGAGTGGTTTCTGTGGAGATATGGTTTAAGGGTCAAGGTAAGAAACCGAGTGGGAGAGCATGGATGCCTTACGCAATGTAATGCAACAATCCAAGGATAATAAACTTCTTCCTACATATGAGTTGTACCAGACTAACACAAATGCAGACAATGTTAAGGCAAGTTATACCAACTTTGACAGGCCTAGATGTTGTGATGTTGATAGGTCTGCATGTCCAATTGATAGAGGATCTGCTTCTGAATATTGTATACTTATTGGTAAGTTATTAGAAGAATAAGAAACAATCCAATGTTAAGGCAAGTTATTAGAAGAATAAGAAACAATCCAATGTTGCATCAAAACCAATATACCACAAAAGGACAAATCATATTCAGGTTGATTTCAACTTTAATCGAGAAAATATCAAGACACCTTGCCACAAGTTAAAGCAAATATGAACAATGGGCTCTCCAACATCTTGACAAAGTCCCTCAGATTTCCTAGAATAAAATATATTTAGTTGTAGGAAACAGCATTTTCTAAAAATATGAGACATGGGTGCAGCGAGGACCCAGAAAGTTGTGTGATAAAGAGACTCCAAAGAGGAGATTCTTTTCAGCTTATTTTGATGTATCCTCGAAACTTCTTGCATCCTGACAAGGGGTTTTTTACTAGAAGGGGAAGAGACGAGAAGGACTGGTAGAATGAACAATTAACAAAGAGTGAGAATTTGCCTAGGGTTTACTTTGACACTTTAGTCCATGATTTTTGGAGTTATTAAAAGAGGCTCACTCTTAATCACTCAGATGTGTCCCTAAATTGTCCCCGTGTGTCCAAGGCATGTCTTTGTGTGTCCCTATGTTGTGTGTCCCTAAATCACTCAGTGTCTTACACGCATATGTTGCCTCTCTTGAAGTGTCTGTGTTTCCTGCTCATAGACAGTAAAGTAGGAATCTAAAATATTACATCATTGTTATGATGTCATTGGATTGCCTTAGGAGTAGTGTTTGTCCAACGAATATCTTTTATTTGTTCTAAATATTATTAATTCATTGATTTCATTCTATTCTAATTACTTCACAATCATCAATGGAACTAAACCCCCAACATCTACAAAGGTTACATTATAATATCATGGGACATTGAAGAGAAAACATGAATTTTCCTTCTTCAAAGCAGGAACCTAAAGATTTTGCCTATCATATGATCCGGAAAGCATTCAAATCTTGCATGAACAAAAATAAAGAAGCACTTTAATAGAGCTTATACAGCACAAAGATGTATTCACTAGCACATAAAGAATTGGATTGAATAAAAGATCATAATGTTTAATCATATTAGGAGAAAGGTTGTGTACGTCTTGACCTCCCAGTCCTCATCATTGTTGGGGAATACACTGGTTTTCTTGTTGTTGTAATGTTTAATCAGGTTACGTATCACACATAGGAAATCAGTACTTTGTTTATGTCAATACTATAAGTACTACCTAAGTTAGTAAATTATGGGGACTGTCTAGGAAGGCAATACCGTCTTTGTAGGCTGATAATCATGCTGACTTCTCTTTCTCCGAACTTCTGATTTGGGTGAGAAAAATGGTTGTTTACAATCAACCTTGTTGTGTTTTACCACTTCTTTGTGACTGGTATCAACCACAACACTCCGTAAATGTGGCTGCTCATTTGTATCTCTCACCAATCCTTTCCACTCTCTTCTGTGGCGGGGCCTTGATTTGTCTGATTTCACTTTATCAGATTCAGATCCCAATTGACAAGTGTCATTCTTAACAGCCTTTTCACCACTGGCAAGGCTTACTTTGATCACATCATCAGGAATGGCTTCTCTTTGCTGTATGTATATATTCAAATTTGAACCAAGATGATCCCACAACCTTACCAATATAAGTATATAACATCACCAGCAATGAAAAAGACTTTATAGTCAAAGGAAATTACTGAGAATACAATTTACATAATACAAGAATTACCAAGAGACGAAACAGTCAGTGTCATCACCAAGGAAAACATTCAATTCATTCCTCGCTTCTTCTTTATGCCTTCCATTTTTAAGTAAGACTATCACGTATTCCTGAAGAATGCATATATACATGAAAAAACAGTTCCACTTGGTAAGAACATAACCGAGCAGGGAGCATGAACCCAGGTAAATAAAAAATGTACAGGTATATCCCAGCAGGACAGATTTTAAGTATCTCTAGAAAAGAATAGCTTCAGAAAATCACATATTTGTCATTAATACAAAAATAACATTCAAAATATCTTTAACTCCTTCAAATTGCAATGTACTCAGAAACAAAATTAAAAAAGTCTATTAACTCATAAACATTACCAAGTCCTTCATCAGGCAGGCGAGGTCATTGGTTTTTTGTCTGCTATTGCGGAGATTCAGGGGCAATTACAATAAATAACCCACATTAGTCATGACCCAGACACATTGACAAACGAATAAGGGGCACAAATTAGAATAAACACACAAGACAGCCCTCTTAGCTTTGATAAAAAAAATCCTCAAATAACAAAAACCAAACCAATGTTTTCTTCTTTTGTTCTAAGACAAACATTTGAAATCAATCATTAGAATAATAGCAAATACAGTACGAGTAATATATAAAACAAACTGGAAAAAGTATAGGATCATAAAGTTATAAAAGATATGCACCAAGGCATCATGTTATAAAGAAGAGCAGTGCACATAAATGGATAACAACTGCTCATGCCAAAGTCAGCTTGCAGCATCACGAAATAATATAGTCACATACCCTGGAGTATTTGATGGATGAAATCTAACATGTTTACACTTGTGCTAGAGTAAAGAATTCATTAATTGCACATAGAATAAGGATTGAATTGAATGCCAAGTCTAGAATAAGATATATATTTACCAAAAAAACAGCCCCTACAACTGATGAAAAAAAAACTTCCATTAAAACACAAATAAGAGGTGAAACTATTGAACAATTGCCTCTTGAGTCTTGATATTAGGTTTGCCATGAAATTATTATTCTGCACAGGGATTAAATTATTATCATGAATATTGCCTGCATGATGAGAAGACTTCGCAAAGATCGTGTGCTGACATATTGTTCCACTCGTACGCACCAAAATGGGGGATCAAAACAAAATTTTAGTACTTATCTCAAAGACAACAAACAAAAACAAAGTACATGTGCTCCATTTATACAAGCCCTCAAATGGTTTTCCAAGAGCCTTTGACCATTTAACATAACAAGTGGGAGGTGTCTTAATGAAAGCATGGGACATGCCCTACATAAATGATATACCCCCGGTACCTACGAAAGTCCTTAAACAAATTACCGGATTAATGACTAAATCCTACGATCCTTTTTGGAATGAATTTACCCCTCCTAAACCCAAACCCTTAGCCATAATTTCATTGGATTTTTCCTCACCCTAAAATAAACCCAAACAACCTGTTTTCTTTCTTTACTGCCCAGGCCGTACCCCCTTACCCCCACCCTTTCTCATCAAAAAAACACACCCCATTAAACTCACCAAAAATGACCCACAAATATTTCATCCTTTTCCCTTCAATTCTGGCCGAAACACAAGAGCCAAAACAACACATATCATCCCCATAATAAACCCCAACACATGGACCCCCTTTGTTCCCTACCCAAACAGCATACACACCCTCCATTTTAACCACCAAATAAGCCCTACAACTACACTCCAAAGCTAAGAATAAAACATCCCATTTGTTGAGATGTGTGGGACGTATAAACCCATCACAAACAACCATATCTCACCCCTCTTTACCCCATCCCTGGCCTGCCCCTTTCCACTTCACAACCACCATATTTCAACCACCATAACAAACCAAATTAGCCAATATATCTCACACCCCTTTGTCCCCTAATATGGCCAAATCACATCCCTCTCAAATCCCCATAAAC